AAATGTTACGGCACTCTAGTTATCTCGAGTATTAAATATGTTTTGATTTGATTTTACTCCACTATTAATGATATACTATTATGTAATATAAAATCACAAATTGTTGTTCCCTTTCACTGAAAATCCCTTTCATTTTATTGTTTTCATATTATATAATATTTGAAGAACAGATCATTTTTCTGTGTTTTTTGTAAAATAATATTACTTATGAAAACTTAGTTTCAATGTAATGGTGAAAAATATATCATATATAAAGCAATTGTGAATTATATTATTTATTATATTTAGTTTTCCGTTCTTTTAAATTGCATTTCTTGTAATCAAATTCAATATATTTTTAGTCTTTTTTCTCTCTTAAGAACTTTGATCTGAAAGTAAAAGGAAATGCTTTTGAATTACACGTCTTTAATGACTTTAAATGAATTTTGCGTTCATTTCGAGAGAGTTTTCATATTTTCTACTTAAGGATCGAAACAATGTTTCATTTATAAGCGCAAAGAATTTCTCGCAAAAACAAACGATTACTTTGAAGACTTTTGGGATTCAAATAGGAGTACAATAATTGGATTGGAAATGAAAATTGAAATTATGTACAAAATTAAGACTTTCATTACGAGCCAAGGAATTAAGACTTTCATATTAGTTGAGTAATAATATTAGAGTAGATTTAGTGATATACGGGTATATCGTGTCATATAATTCTTAAATCAATAATTATTTTCATTGACATCATTATATTCTGGATTTTATTTAGAATTCCAATAAAATGTCATACAATTGACAAAAATATTTGAATTAGTTTTAGGCGTTAGGTCTGACCCTCACTATAGAGCTGATGATGGAATGGGAAGAAAAGCCAACTTTTATTGATCTAATCTTTCGTTTCCTCCGGAGAGAGGAATTATTTTCAACAAATCCACAAAAGTATCGAAAGTATGCTTTGCTATCAATGTATCGCTCTTTTAGAGTCTTTGGATTTTAGGATCATATCATCAACGGTTGGAAAAGTCGAGAATACATTGTCTTCAATAAAATATTAGGCTTTGATTCAAACAAAACCTTATTAAGCAGTGGAGTATTGCCAAAAATCACAAAAACAAAGGCACTGATAATGTTTGGATAATAAGATTGAAAATAAAGTATAAGTGATTGAAATGAAGAGCTGAGGAAATGTATGAACGAAGCGAATGCCAAAAACGCGTTCAATAGAGAGCTGAGAGAAACCAATGGAAGATCTAATCCATTGAAAGTATTGTAAAGTTTCCACTCATTGATCACCAATAAGTAAATCTTTGAGAGCTCTCTCTCTCTCTCTCTCTCTCTCTCTGCAAGAGGTGGAGAAATAAGACATTTTCATGTAGTTCACCGAAAAATGAATGAAAAACTCGTCGATAACTGTTCCCATACTCTATCACTCATATAATAGAGATTATTTTCAAATGAATTTTGTGTAAACAGAATATGGCGGCATATAAAAAATAGCTGACTTTCATATTTCATATATTATTTCATAAAAAAGATTAATATAATGGTGTGAATGGGATAGAAGTGGAAAACGTTTTTCAAAAATAAGCCCAAAATTATTTGGTTAAGAATGAGAGCCGACACACATTGAGAATAACGATGCGCTCAATATATACATCAGAATATAATTTATTGAATGCAAACTATAATCTCTTTTATATTCATTGTTATTCAAGAATAAGGCACAGAATTTGGACTCAATTTATGAATCACTTCCACAGAAAAGGTAATATTAATTGTATTTTATCTCTCAATAAGCTCTGAAATGCTGTCATATAAGAAGCAATGCATTGGACAGTAAATTAGCATTTTTAGGAAAAACAAAAGATTTTGTTTGCATTTAGAAATTCAGTTGTTTTGCTGCAAATAAGATAAGTCTTGTTGTGTTGTCTGACATTTATGATCAACAAAAATAATATGACAACTGAGACAAAGTCTATTGTATTCCCAAAATGGTATCTTTGACTACAATGGCATCGATAGCGTTATAATAAGAATCGGTTTCGGATGAGAACAACAGGATTGCAATTCTCTATTCTCCGCAAATCCTATTCTCTTCACTATATTATGTAATTTTATCAATAGTTAGGTCCACATAAACCTTATACTACCGGTGCCCTAACAATGTCTGCATACAATAATACCGTTCACTTGATTTTCGATTCATTTTCCAAATGAAAATTCTTTGTATCGCTTTTCGGAATATATTTTCTTTACCACAAGAATTCACTCATTTATTCAGTGCTCCCGTAATATACATGAATTGTAATTACAAAATGGCTAACAAGTATTTACTCAAATCTTAAAATTTTTTGCTAATTCAATATGATATGCAAGAGTGAATACGTGGCTAAAAGTTATATAAAAGAAACAAATATTTGGAAAAGAAAATAAATAAATATTTAATTAAATAAGAGAATAAGAAAAAACAAAAATCTATTAATAATTAAGCTATTTATAAAAAAATACGAAAGAATAATATCTAAACCATAAGTATATTCAGTATAATTTATATATTTTATTCTCAAAGCCCTACAAATATAAAGAAAGATAACATTTATCAATATATGAGAAAATGTTGAGACAATTCATGAGCTCCGTTAGGTTTACACAATACGGACGACTGTATTAAACATATCTAAAATGGGTTTCAGTTCTGATGGTTCTGTGCTCTCATCTCATAATTCAAACAAAATGTCATAAATTGTGAATCCATTCAATATTTCATTAGTACAACAGATAAATAATGTTCGGAGCCATTTTTGGTGAAAACTTAAAATTCATGGCATGAATTGTTTGAATGCATAGAATTTAAATAAATTATAAACTAATTAATGCCTAAAACTTGTACTGACATGACGTGAAATAAGTCATTCAATTGAGAGTCCGGTTGAGTAAAAAGCATTGTTTATTGGGATCGCAAACAGTTTCAGAGCACGTATTGCTTCTGATATTTATCTTTCATTCGCTGCTAAAATACAGGACTTAAACACAACCGAAGACCAAAAACTATTATATTATTCACGTCTTCATAAGTGGAGACAAAACAGAAAAATATATACAAAAATACCAATCGTTTTGATATTAAAGTGGGCTTTCATTGAGTGGAATCGCTTTAACTGAAAATTAATTCATAGGAGAATAGCATTAAATTATAGACACAATGTATTTCAATTCCTTCACTGAATTAATTAAATGTCTTTCAATAAGACTCTGTTTTGTCAGAAGAGATGTTATTTTGATAGTTATCTCCGAATCGTATCGAAACCAAGAATTCATTAAAATTCATTTAAATTGAAATTTGCAATAAAAGTGCAAAAATATTCATTGCTTGCGATCCGGAATCTAACCGTTTGTGTAAAAATAGATTAAAATATTGTTATTGCATAGAATCGGAATAAATAAATCGATTCACTTATTACTGACTTCTTTTGGTCTAAGTTTTTATATTCAAATATTTTAGTGTTAGAGTAAAAGGAGTCTAAAAAAGCTGATTAAAAAAGGATTAATTGCAAGAAAAATGAATTAATGAATTGAGTCAACAAATGAACATTTGAGTCAAACATGAAATCGATTGGAAAACAGTTTCTCGTGAACTAAATATTGACAAAAAAAGACAAATTAAGAAAATTGGGAACAATTTATTGCGTTTAATGTCAAACTGAAGCATTAAATCATTTAAATGGTTTGTCTGTAAGTCTTATGTCTACGAAACGAATGCTAGAAAAAGAAATTTTAAAAACTTTTTAAAACATAAAAAGCGTTCAATTCCTTGCCATGGATTTCAAATCAAAACTATTTTTTTTCGGTAAAAACTCAATATTTATTTGAATTTTAATAACAATTCTTCGAGAATGAGTGAAAATGACAAAATTTATTGCATTTTTTGACCAAAACTTTTTGAAACGGTTAGAGAGAAGTGAATAAACGGAGCTATAAACGGTATAATGGTTTGGTTTTATGTGTAAAAAAAGTAAATCGATTTGTGTCTTGAGTTGTGAAGAGACAAACACTTCCACCGAAATAGTCTCGAAATACAGTTTGAGATATCGATAAACATTACATTCATAGCAATTCATTGAATGTCTTTTGAACACAAATGAAATGTCATTTAATATAATATCCATTATATTTGGAGTAAAAACTCAAAGATTCATGAATATAACTAATATTTCATTATTTTATCGGAAATAAAGCAGATCTAAGAAAAACAAATACTTAAACACATTAATCATAAATACATTTTTGGAGATAACAATCAATTTATGTAGAAAAAAGTGTCTTAAATTATCCATTCATTCAATTAAAACTAATTTCCCTAATATTTATCGATTGATAATATATACATATAATATATGTGATAATAATATACGGCATATTAATGGTGTGTACAGTTATACTCGCTTACGGTATATTAATATTAATAAGTACTTGGCATAAAACATCATATTTTAAATAAAATTTATTTAAATTAGAGACAAAACACTAATTTTTATGTCGATTTCTATCGAAATAAATTACAAAACAATATTATAAATAATAATTAAATATACTATAAAAACATCTACAGTACACTACAATATCATAACTGTGTGCGAAAAGCCATTCATTGCATGGCTTTCACCGTTAAGCTAGCATTTAATCTATACATGGTATAAAATGTATACCTTGAATATTTATAACTTAATGACACATACGAATATAATATACAGTCATATAGCACAAAAATGATCTAGCACTAAGTTGGGATGAACTAACTCGAAATAATAGAGATACAAATGTTACAAAAAATGAGATAACATCTGATTACCATGGATTGGGCATGGGTTCAAAAATAGGGATTTAAATGTATGACAAATATGTAATAGGGATTAAAGGGATTAGAAATGATTAAGTAATAGGAAATAATAAAGTGGTCATCAAATGAATGGTAATATTTGACGAATTGGTGGCAATAGTGGTAACAGTGGTCTGACCTCAACATAAGCGTCGACTGAAGAGGACGAGTGAAAAGCGATAAGAATGATGACGATAACGGCGTTCATGGGCCACATCGGTGGTGACATAGTAGCTGATCCGTGGATTACAATCAATGAGTTCTCGCGTTGAGTGAAATGTGTTGAGATAACAGACCAAAAAATGGCCGTCCGATGAGGTCTTGTCGCTCACCCACACTATCTATGACTGAGATATGACGAAAAGTATTGTATGTGTTGTGAAAAACAGTAAAACCAATGGTTATAGCAATGGAGACATAGAGGGAGAGCACAGACAGGCTATAGAATGGCATCAAATGTATTGCATTCGCAAAGTGAGGGCTCTCTGAGAGCAGAGAGAGAGCGCACGGGAGAGCTATTGGAGAGACCTGTGAGAGGGATGGGAGAGAAGGTCGCAAACACTCACAGCTAATCATCCAATCGCTCGCAAATGTTCCACTAATGGTCTCCCAGTGCCAGAAGGCATACCATTTCTGGTGGATTCGCTTCATGAGAGGGCGTCATCTCGAAGACTAATACACAAGTATTGCATCGATTCCAAAGCATTCATCCACTCAGTCGTCGCAAACCAAAGACAAAATCGATTCTTCTTTTCATGCAATCATAAAAAGTTTGACTAAAAATAGATTTCTTTTCTGCGAATGTGTTTGTCGTGAACAACAACCAAACGACTACTCGTTGTATGTATCGATCATATCATCAAATAATTAAAAAACTTTTTTATTACACTTTTTCAGACATAAAAAGCTGTTATCAAACACTTTCAGAGGCTTTGAAATCGAAAAAATAGAAAATAAATTATTTATAGAATTCGTGTTCCGATTCATCCTTTTTGATGTTATTCTTGTAGCCCTTCTCGAAGTCTTTGGGAAGCACTACATATCGGTTCTCTCGCACGGCATGCATACCCGCCTCCTGACAGATAGCGTTGATGTCGGCGCCGGAGATGCGGTCAGGTCTGGCCACGTAGTCCTCGAGGTCCACCTCATCGCTGAGATTCATGCGAGTGGTGATCGTCGAGAAGATGAGTCGCTTCTGGCGTCTGTCGGGCAGCGGGAACTCGATCTTCCTGTCCAGGCGTCCGGGTCTGAGTAGGGCCGGGTCTAACGTGTCGGCCCTATTGGTGGCCATAACCACCTTCACGTTCGTCGTCTGGTCGAAGCCATCCATTTGGTTGAGGAGTTCGAGAAGAATCCTCTGGACCTCGCGGTCGGCGCCGGTCTGGGCGTCGAAGCGTTTGGTTGCGATGGCGTCGATCTCGTCGATGAAGATGATTGCGGGCGAGTTCTCGCGGGCCAACCGAAACACATCCCTAACCATTCGCGGGCCCTCTCCTAAGTACTTCTGCACGAACTCCGAGCCCACCACTCGTATGAATGAGGCGGTCGTGTGATGGGCCACCGCTTTGGCTAACATTGTTTTGCCACAACCGGGCGGTCCGTACATCAGTACCCCTCGCGGCGGATCGATTCCGATCTGTTTGTAGAGCTCGAAGTGAGTCAACGGCAGTTCCACCGCTTCCCGGATCTCTTGCTTCTGGATGTCGAGGCCTCCGATGTCGGCGTACGTCACGTCCGGCTTCTCGTCGGGTCTTAGCATTGCTATACTGCTGTCCGCCTCCGGGGGCAACACATCCACCAAAGCGTTGCTGTGTTTGTGGAGCGCCACCGACGAGGACGGCTTCAGGAGCTCCCTATCGATGGTACTCAAGATTCGCACGTAATAATTGGATCCCGTGGTCGAGCCCACGATACCCGTGTTGGCGTCCACCGCCTCCAAGAACTGGCCGATCACTAGCGGAACCGATTGGATGCGTTTCACCTCTTCCTGGGCGTGAAGATACTCCTTCTTCAGGTTCTTTTGTTCGTCTTTTATGTACTCTTCTTGCACTTCGAGGAACTCGAGCTGTCGCTGAAGCTTCTTGTACTTCACGTACAGGTCATCCAAGTCTTCGTTGTCATGTGTGGGCGTCGAAGAGGTGGTCACCAAATGTTTGGCATCGCTTCCGAAGGTCTCCTCCTTTTGGGACACAGTTTTGGTGAAGATATGAAACCGTTTAATGAGACAATTCTCACTCAATGTCAACCAATGCATACCTTTTCGAGGACAACAATCCCTAATTCCTCCATCGGATGTGATCTTCAGGTGATGTGAAGAGAAAACTCAATTGAATTGACGGATCAAATGAGTGGTAACTTTGGTTCGTGTGTTGAATGTATGGCTGAGTTGACAATGAATTGCAAAATATGTGAAACAATTTCAATGCAATGTTTGTCCGAAAGATGGCATTCAATGCAATCGTTTCGTCATTTGTTGAGTGCATTCAGTCAACAGTTTTGCAGAGATTTGTCGCATATTTTGCTGACATATCGTCGCCCAAGACATCGGATCCGTTGCACCGACGCGATGGCCACTCAAGCGGTGGTCGTATTAGGCGGAGGAATAAGTGGTCTTTCGTGCGCTTATTATCTGCAAAAGTTTTGTCGCCATTTGACGGCCTTTCAGAAGATTATTGTTTTGGAGAGCAGTTCCCATTTGGGCGGTTGGCTTAAGACATGCGAACTCGATGACGGTGTGAAGCATGAATTAGGACCAAGGACATTGCGATCGGCCACTAACCAGGGATACAATGCACTCACTCTCGTAGGAATCACTCTATTCTGCCATTGAATCGATTTGTTTGAGAAAAAAGTTTTCTAAGTTTTGTCCAAATGATAGGCCGAAGACATTGGTCTGACGGATGAGATCTTAGCGACGACTTCTAAGTCAAATGTTGTCAAAAAGAGGTTCATTTTAGTGGACAATGAATTGGTAGCACTTCCCACGAAACTCATAGACTTATTCCGAAAACGGAAACCTTTTTCGAAACGATTGATATCTTATGTGATAAAAGACTTAAAGACACCGAAACTGGATTTAAGTCAATATGAAGACGATATCAGTGTTTATGATTTCGCTGAATACCGCGTGGGCTCAGAGGTCGCCAATTACTTCTTCGACCCCTTATGCAGAGGAATAACTGCCGGAAACTCCAAGAAGTTGTCTATTATGTCATTATTCCCTCAGTTGCTTCGCGCCGAACAAGAGTCCGGATCTTTTATTATGGGATCAGTTCTCAACACTTCCAGAGACAGCACTCAGATGTACGCGAGTCCTCTCGTTAACAAAGCGATGGCTAACCATTGGAGTACTTATACCTTCAGGGGTGGCCTTCAAGCCCTTCCTAATCGGTTGTGCGACCATATGTTATCACTGAAAGGAAGTCCTATTGAGATATATAACAACTCAACTGTCAATACAATTAAGTTTAACGAGACCTCAAAGTCATCTGTAATTACGATAACGACTCCCGAAGATAATAACATCGAAATAGAAGCGCAACATATCTTCTCATCGCTTCCGGCGTACAGTTTAGCCAAAGTTTTACCCAAAGATTACAGCGATTTGTCTGAAGCCCTAAATGCCATAAAGACTGTGAATATGGCTGTCGTTAATCTCGAATTTAAAGGCAAAGTAATGGCCGACGACTCCGGCTTTGGATTTCTGGTGCCGTCCTGTGAAGACTCCAAGATATTGGGAATTGTCTTCGACTCATGTGTCACTCCAGAGTTCAATGCCGGACACGACATCACAAGACTTACGGTTGGAACCGATTCTCATAATTAATAGCAAATTTTATTTATGATAATTGTTTGACTTTCAGGTAATGATTGGCGGCGAATGGTTTGAAGAGATTTTGGGTGATGTGGACACTGTTGACGAGCAAACAGTTCTTAACATTGCCTTAGAATCTGTTCGTTTGTATCTCAAAATAGACTCGAAACCCATTCGACATATTGTTACCATAAATCGGGTATATTTTAGACTGATTTGGGATTTGTTGGCATTATGTAAATTATTTTGTTATTGTCTGCAGAACTGTATTCCTCAATACCATTTGGGACATCAACAAAGAATTCAAAGAATTGATGAATTAACTAAGAAGTATTCAATGAATATGACATTAATCGGCGCCTCCTATCAGGGCTTCAGTGTTCCCGACTGTATATACAACTCAAAGTTGGCGGCAGAAAGTTATTCCAATGCCATCAAAGGTGTCACTTCTCAACCACAACCAGAACCTAGTCTTGAAAGGAATCAATTGAAGCAATGATTAATTCAGTGATTAATAGGATTATGTTTATATGAATAAAATCGATTACTTATGAATGCTAGCAAATTAATCAATATACTATTTATGAATTTAGACCTGTAAATCTTTCAATGTTTATAATTTTATATACCCGTAAGTAGTGTATACTATACACTGTATAGTTTAGAACTTAGGTACAATAACTTTAAATACGAAATAATATAGATGTCTCAATTTGTAACTCAAATTATATTATAGTTTTATTTATAAATTTATAAATTTTGTATTTAATTTGGAATCAATGATTTGATTAGTTTTTTTGCTCAATAAAAAGTTATCTACCTGTACAACATTTGAATATAATGCTTTGATGGAACTCGCACAATACTTCTCAAAAGTAATTTATAAATAAAATCTTATACGGAAATCAAATGTAATTTTAAAAAATAAAATATACATTTATATAATTAAATCAAGATACGAAGGGATTATTTGAAATAAACTTTATAGCTAAGTTTCTAAATTTAATTGTAGAAATAATCTTTTTCTAGGTTTAGATATCAAAATATGTTCATGATTTTAAACTATAATCTTTTATAACTTTTTTACTATGAGAAAATTATAGCACGATATACTACTTTGTGTTTATGGGATAGATAATGAACTTTCAATTAAGTTTATGTGAATATAATGACCGCTAGTTTAATATTTTTCAATTAATGGTCTCTATTATGTGAAATTGCTTTCAAATGAAAGAAATATCAATTTTGGCGAATAATAGAGAAAATAATAAAATATTAAAGAAATTGTGTGAAAGAAGAAGATCTGAAGAACTCTTTACTCATTTTGGACTCGAAATGAAAGACTGAGTGAATGGTTGTGTAAGAACTGGTCTTTTGTGTGAGCGGCTGGTCGTGACCGACAGGACTGTCTGTAGAGTAATATAAGTGCTATCAAAATGTTTATTACACTCCACTCGCTCTCTGAGAGCATAACTTTTTATTAGTTCTGGAAAATAGTTTTATTTAAACAATTTTTACTCATAACGTAAGTATTGCTCGAAATTGTTTAGTATATTATAAGCAAAGTATAACTTTTTCTGAGAGAAATATTTGAGTGAATTATTTATGAGATATTTTGTTGTGTGTGGAGAAGGGAGAGAGAAAAATGAAATGAAATTCATTTATACTTTCCATTAAGTTTGATAATTCAGTCATTTATATTCGGGCTCTAATTCTAAAGATTAAAATCTATGAAAAATAAGACAATTTATTAAAGAAATTACTTTTGGCTCTCAGTTTCATAAATCTAATTAAAAGACAAATTATATCACTTATGTATTAAACGATATCTATTTAACGCTTAATATTTTTTAGATAAGTTTTATTCGCGGTCCTAAAACTGCACTTAAATAGCCGTTTAAAATAAAGTTTTCAAATAAAGACAGTCCTTGAATGGCATGAAATTATTGGCAATACATTTGAATAGGCTATACATTAGTAGACCATCAGTGAAATGACCAAGACATTAGTGAAATGACTTGAAATATGGTGTTAAGAGAGTGTCATATTGTGAGCGACTTTGTTAGGGATGAGGCGTTCAAATAAAGCCACAAAGACGTGTATTAATACAAATGAATTTCATTAATAAACTGCCAAAATATTGGCTGAACTGTTCACTTCTCAAAGGCTGGACTCAATGATAGTCATTGTATTGTATTGTTTAAGACTTAGAGAAGACTACAATAATAATGAGAACGAAGTGAACTGAAGGGAACTGTAGGGAGTCTTTAGGGGCACTCATATACGCTATACTAAACTTACTTTCTCTTTCCTCTACAACAGTAATGATTAATGTTTTAAAAACTTTCAAAACATTAATTCCTACCAAAAGTAGCTTCAATTCCTATGAACCGGACCTCAGATAAGCTCTGCTCATAGTATAGCTATTATTGAGAATTTAATATTTCGTTTGGAAGTAAAATATGATATAAAATGAACTTTTCTTTTAATGAGAAAATAATTTGATTTTCATTCTAATAATGTCAAGTCTATGATCATCAATGCCGACACTTATCGTATAATTTCAATATACTGTAAAAATAAGTATCTAGCTAATTAATTGAAATGAAATATTTTCGTCCTCTATGTTTATAGAAAATGGTTTCACACCAATTCTCGTAAATTTATTAGTTTACAAATGGTTTGCGTTAAATGTAGGGAAACAAATCATTGAAATGGTAAACGGTTTTGTAATGACTACTTAAACATCAAATACTGTATACTTCTAGTGAACTCGTTATATCTGTCAAAAAGCTTATGTCATGTCATTTCAATGATAAATAATTAATACATAAAATCTTTGGTTTTAAACTTTAAAGTAATTTTTGCAAAACTAATTTTTTCGAAAAAAACTCAAAATTTTGTTCTCAAAGGTATTCATTATTAAATAGTTAGCGATAATTAGTGTCAATTTATTTTCAATTCCAGTCATTCTTCTGGTATTAATAAAACAATAAAAGTCTAGAATTTAGAGCCAAATAACGCTATAAAAGCTTTTGACTCGAGATTTGAATTTCAAGCATTGATTTATTGCGAGAATTTCCATAGAAATGGACTTTTTTACTGTATTTGTCTCTAACATAACAGGTCTTATTGTTTGCCAATCATTATCGATAGCCAGACATTAGTGGAAGTGGATGTTAGTGAAAGGATCGGAATGTTCGCTTTCGACGTAATATAAACTTTACAATTGTGACAAACATTAAAAATGATAGCACTTACCGGTGCTCTCATACTGTAAATCGATTTAAACTTTCTTTCCAACAAATCTAATAAAACGGTTGACTATAACGCGCTCTAAAGGCCGTCCGAACGACTCCTCCTTTAAGACACTTTGCAGTCGAGAGAAAAAGCAACAAAAACTTGGGATGAGTTCTGCTTTACTTAAAACCCATTTCCACTCTCTTTCCCATAATTGCAGACAAACAGAAATAAGAGACTAAGTTGTCATTTGCTGGTAAAACGCTTTTCAAATGTCTTTTTTGACATTAATTAAAATTCTGTCCATAAATCATATCTAAGAAGTCGTTATTAATATGACTTTCAAACTCTTATTTCGACTTTAAATTTATGATTCAATACCGACTAATACTATAAAATTATATCACATCTAGTGAATAATTAAAGTCTTTAAGTATTTGCCGAAACTCTAAATTTAAGGATTAGCTAAAATAAATAAAACTTACAAATTTGTGCTCTCTCTCTCTCTCTCTTTCTCTTTCTCTCTCTCTCTCTCTCTCTCTCTCTCTCTCTCTCTCAAACATTAAGATATACTTCAAATAAAAAATAATATTTAAGTTAATAATAATTTAAATGTTATTTTAATAATTAAAAATGTCTGACAAGAGATTCTTTCTAATTATATAATTATATTACAAAAATGTTTCGAAATGAAATACAAATTCATATAATTTAAAATTTGATTCTTAAATAACTTTTATCAAAAAATTATGTACACATAAACATTAATTGTTTGAAAGTCCGAGTGATAAGTGATGATCATTAGCACGAACTTTGCATTATCACAAGAGTCCCATTTGTGGCCGCGTTTTGCATACCATTACACTTAGTGGTCGTGATTATGGAGTCGCTGTTATCCTTATCGGAGGCGTTCAGTAGATCTGTCCGACTGCGACGCTTCCTCTCGAGCGTACCGTTGAGTCGCGTGAAACTGGAGCTATGGTTGTGGTGATTGAGACGCGAATTGCTGTGACTCAGCGTCGAGTTGGGGTAGTGTTCGTCCACTCGCTTCCCTTTCCTCCTCTCCAGAGTATTCAACGAAAGGGGGGTTTCGTTCACATTATTATTGGCCGCCAACTGGTGCTGAGATACACTCTTCGACCGAAAGCTGCCATTCATTGTGTTGGAGTGGTTTCGGTTGAGAGTTGAGCTGCCGTTTGATATCTCGCAGAATGGGTTCACTCTAATACTGATGGGATGCGGGTATTCGCTGTCCATTCTGTCCATTAGAGTGGATCGCGAGAGATAGCCGTTAGAGGCGGCGGCCATCAGTGTGTTGGAGATGTGACCATTAGATCTGTGATGAGTGAAGATGTTGTGATTGCTGTGACTAAACATATGGTTGTGATTGTGATTGTTTGCGCCGGCCTTCGGGTGCTTCTCTTTGGGCAGTTTGCCGGCCGTCCCATTGGATCGCGGGGTCTGTTGTTTGGTGCGCACGACACATAAAACTATACAAACGACAAACACGAGGACGAGTGCACCAGAAGTGATAAAAATGACAGTATATAATGTCTTGTCTTTGTCGCCTTTGACGGGACCGATACCGCCGTTGATATTGTTCTCGTTGTGGTCTTTCTTGTGTCCCTTATCTTTGGTGATCTCAGGACTCGGTTGAGTCTTAACCATAAATATATTAGAAAAGTCCGAAGTGCCGGCGACGTTGAAACACTGCATCTTAATGTCATACGACGTGTCCGGCAGTAAATGAGTAATAATATGAGATCTGGTGTTAGCGCCCATTGCGGCCACTTTAAGATAATCGCCGGCAGACACAGTGGTCCGGTAGTAGATGAAGAAACCCTCGATGGTCACTGAGTCGATGTCATAGTAATCCCATTTCATAGTAATAGCTGATGGACTGACAGCTTCGGCGTTAGTAATGACGGGACCATTGATTGGTTTCTTCGTCGGCGGGTCTTTAAAAAGAGTGAATTTAATGGAATTCGGACCCAATTTGTTGTCATTGTTTGAATAGACGGCTGCGATTCGGAACCGGTATTTGGATCCAGTGTTGAGTCCATTGACGGCATACGAGTGGATATGAGGGGCGATGTCGTCGTCCACTGTACTCCAATCGCTCCCTTTGGCCGCCATTTCCCTGTACTGGACCTTAAAGAAGAGGATCGGGAGGCCATCGTTTGCGGGCACATCCCAGCGAACCATCACTGAGTCCTCGCTGAGTCGGGTCACCTCAGGTCTGGTCGGCGGAACCATTTTGACGCCTTTGTTCTTATTGTTTCGCCGACTATTAGGATTGGGAAGTCTATTGAAAAGGTCCTCCTCCTCATCAATGAGTTCAGTGTCGGCGCTGTTCTCAATCGGATCCGATTCGTCCTCATTCTCGTTGATCACCACTTCCTTTACGTTTTGATTAGAATCGGTTTGACTTTGAGTTAACGACAGGACGTTCACAACAGTTGTCGCATAAGAAGATCCCAACTCATTGGTGGCGAAGCACTGATACATTCCTGAATGCAACTCATGGTTGGCGTTCACTATCGACAACTTTGATCCATCGGTTCCTTTGATGACAATTCCATTCTTATTGGATATTTCGGGTGTAATCTGAACGCCATTGTGGAACCAATCGACCACTGGTTTAGGCTTTCCTTTGGTACTGCATTCCAAGACAATCTCCTGTCCCTCCATCACCTCTTTCTCTTCAATTGAGGTCTTCCTCACGAATTGAGGTATTTCTTGGATTTCGAGGACTGAACTCATGAAAGGAGAGTTTGGCGACCCGTTAGACGCCGTACAGACATACGTGCCGTCGTCCCCGCGCCTCACGTTTACGAGTATTAGGTTTCCGGCGTCCGTAATGGTCCGCGATTTAGGCAGATGTCCGTCCAGTCTCTTCCACGTGATGGTGGGTGTGGGAGAGCCGGAGGCCGAGCACTCGAACGTCACATTACTGCCCGTAACGGCACTGACATGTGGTTTAGGACCGACCGAAAACTTGACAGAATGCGAGTTATGGTTGCGATGGGAGTGATGGTGATTGTGGGGGTTGTTGTGGTTGTGGTGGTGTCGCGACTGTCTGGTGACCGACAGCTCCACGAAATGTATGGCATGTGTTCGTTGTCCCAGATATGGGTTGTGAGCGACACATCTGTAGGCACCGGCGTCTGAGTCGCGAACATTCAATATTTGCAAATCTCCGGAAGGCATCAAACGATACCTCTCTGTCAGCAAACAAAACATATTTAAATAAATATCATTCAAACAAATAATCTCTTCATTGCTTTACCTCTGGTTCTGTCGATGAGAGTGCCGTTGACGAGGAATTCGGTGACAGCGTTGGGGACACTATAGGGGGGGTCGCAGGGGATGACAGCTGTGTTGCCGGCGATGGACACGACACTGACATTGTGTTTGTGAGGGAAGGGCCTAAGCTCTGCTAATATGAGTTTAGCGGTACGACTAATGATGGCCCGACTCTTGTGCTGTGCTATACACTGGAACTCTCCTCCAGAGAACAGTTGTGTTAAATGTATGGAATCATTGGCTAAAGAATTACTAGAATTATAGCTATTTTTAGGCATTTTTGGCAGTTTTAGGACAAGTTTGTGGCGTAAGATCTTGAGGGCCGGTGAAGAACTTGGATACACAGGCACTCCACCATTAATCCATCGGATCTCAGCACTGGCTGGCGATGCCGTGCACTTGAAGACAGCCCGTCCACCATCGGGAGCGACCAGTTGTGATGTGGGCTCAGTTAGGAACTCCAGGTGCGGTTCCACATGTCGTTTGTCTGCTTTGGTTAGTCTCACAAAAGTGGACACAAATAGTAGTATGAAATACGATAAGATTAGAGAGTATGTGAATACTCTATGAGTGGTATGTGTGGTGATAGGGATAACCATTTTGTTAAATATTGATGTTTTGGTGAACAGGGATGAGAAGAGTGGATGAAAAACACTTGAGTTGGCAATCGGTGTAAGCGCTGCCTCTTCTCAATGCATTCATTATTGAGTGAATTTCAGGCAAACATTTAGAGTCCGGCAACAAATTGCAGGAAATATGGGAACCCTTCTGGAAGTGGCGTTAATCCACATAAGGCACGAGTGAAGGCACTGACAGACCTCTCATTGTCCCACAAGAACTCACTGGAAACTCACTGCAAACTTGGGATCACTGGAGACCAGTACTGGAAACTCACTGCAAACTTGGGATCACTTTCAACCAGTACTGGTGCAGCAAAACGACTGGTGCTGTTACTACTCGTACTACACTTGGCTTTGCTTTGCTTGTGTTGAGCACTGGTTTGCAGTCTTGCAGTCACTCTTCTCTGGGACTCTCTTCACAAACAACTGAATCACAGAAAGAGAGAGAGAGAAGAGAAGGTTAAGAAACTGAACGCTCTCTCCCTATACGAGTGAACACTTGAGATGCAGTGCCCTAAAGGGAGACGGGATGTATCCTATTCTTCAGGTGCAGGGGTTGTCCACGGATGGGCACAACTATGCCATAGTTTGTGGGCTCTGTTGGACGGCTTACAGCTCCGCAACTTCTCAACTGCTTGTCTGCAGTGAACACTGTTTTATAAGTTATGTCAAGCGATGGCTTTGGCAGCTCCGGCCCAAACACCACCAATAGATTGGCAACTAATTCACAACTATAGCGATCCGGTGCCACAAACTTTCACTCATATTAGACTACACTTTTAATTTTTAGGCTAAATTCTTAAGTTCTTAAAACTTCTTAAAACTTAGAAAAAACTTTTAAAAACTTTAAAAACTTTTCCAAACAAAGAATTAAATGGAAATTTAATATAGTCTTATCAAGTTCTACATACAAATAGAAAGCATTCATAAATATTTGAATTCAATAAATATTAATGATCAGGGTCATAATTATCATTATGGGCTTTGTGTTGAAAGGTATGCATAAAACTTTGGAAATGTGGTCATTGATGGAAACCCTGCTCATATGAGAACTGCATGGGCTATCTGTGCCAATACCCAACACAATGATTAACAACCTGACAACAGGCATACAACAGCTACAACACCAGCACTTGCACTGTAAGACCTGCACCACTACTACTCCAACACTAATCACAACAAAAAACAACTTTCACTGAATAAACCGTCTCTCTCTCTCTCTCTCTCTCTGTGATTCAGTTGTTTGTGAAGAGAGTCCCAGAGAAGAGTGACTGCAAGACTGCAAACCAGTGCTCAACACAAGCAAAGCAAAGCCAAGTGTAGTACGAGTAGTAACAGCAAAAATGCAATTATTTTCCATCATATTTTCCTTAAATAAATTCTCGACAACTTTACACTTTAAATATATATTTATAGATATATAAGACTCTCTCTCTCTCTCTCTCTCTCTCTCTCCACATTCATTGCCAATCGCCTTATTATTCTGTAGTGAAAGCATTTCAGTCACTAAGTGTTGGATATCTAATACCTATTACTGTAATATATATTTTGTTGGAACCAATGAATCGCTTGGAGAGTGAAATGCCAGCGCCAGAGACCCATTACCTATTACTACAGGGTCTGTAGTGTACAAACAAATGCAAATTAATGACCATTTAATGATGTGATTGAAATCAAAACTAGTGATTATTCGCCAGAACTCTCATCTAATTAAATGCAGGCAATGGTGTAGTGTAGACACCAAAGAGGCGCACAGGCAGGTGCCTATCACTGTCCCATCAGACCTATCATGATGTTTGAACTGATAATTAGGAATAACCTACAAATGCAGCTAACTTTAGATATATTGCGGTCAACTTTTGTCCCTTTTATTTGATTTGATTTTTGTTTCGCGCGTTTGCAAATGAAATCATAAATGTTTATAACAAACTCGTACTGATATATGATTCAAACATTTCGTAGACATTTGATTATGTTTATGGTTTTGCGTGAAATTGTTTGATAACAATGAAGGCATAATTGTATTCTCAAATATTTTGATGGCATTCCACCTCAAGTTTTCCCGAAAAAAGTTTTTCGAAATAATATATTTGGCGAAAATATGTTTGATAATTGGCTTTCTGTCAAATATTCTCATTTAAATAATAATAATATCAAAGTCTATAACTTGTGTTTCACTCGCATTTGAGTCGAGAGACTATGAGAAGGCAAGTCTGCTCTCACGGATGATATCATATCTGTTCTCAAAACAATTTATCCCATTATAACGAGTAGTCCGGATGTGTTGAGGGGGAGAGCAGTAAGACTTTGAAACGATGCATATGTGCAGTTGTGTTGGCTATACTTCACTCCACTCTACTAGAGAGTGTTCGTCTCTATTATTCAATACAAGAGTCAAATACACACAACAAATGAAATCCCAAACCTATTATTTGAGTTCACAATTTGTTGAAATAAATGCAATTATTTTCCATCATATTTTCCTTAAATAAATTCTCGACAACTTTACACTTTAAATATATATTTATAGATATATAAGAGTCTCTCTCTCTCTCTCTCTCTCTCTCCACATTCATAAATTCTTATCGAAAATATTTTTTCATTTTCTATTTTTGTTGTTGTTTTTGTTTTACAATTCATGTGTAGAGAGAAAGTTTTTCAAAAGTAAAAGTTTTGACATTTTTAAGAGCTAATAAATTATTGTGCATTTAATTAAATGTCATTTACACCATTGAATTTATGTTTGAAGAATTGAATTTAAATTTCTAATTTTACACCTGTCTTCAAATATTTAATTGAAAATATATTATTACTCATTTCTAAATTCATTGATTATAAAAGCAATCACAACTATTTATAATTACTTCAAAACAATATTATTCATAAAAATATGATGAAATTCTGATTAAAATTAAATGGTATATGTTTTATAAAATTATAATTAGAATTATATTTGATTAAAATGCAGGTATATTTAAAGGTAAAATAAAAAAAGTGGCAACAAGTACAGACACTTTAGTGAATAAGTAATCAGTCATTAAGTCATAAAAACTTCTAAAAAAGTAATGCAATTTATCTTCGAAACAAATTATAAATAAAATGCATTTTGAATTTAAAATTCATTAAATCTCTAAATTATTTTGCTATCAATTGAAGAGTGAATACAAATTTTGTTGAATTGATTTCTAGATAAATGAGTGGAAATGGTTGTTGCGCTGACTTACTAAACTCCGGCTTAACTTAAACATCAAAAAAAAAAAGTTTTACACGAAAAATGCAAATGTGTGGTGTGAGCGTGGTCATTTATTTTAACCAGACGTTTCAATCGTTTGTATAATATGTCAAATATAATCGCTTTTCATGCAAAATAAAAACTCCAACAAATTATCAGGATTTGTATTTTGTGTTAAAAGAAAAGAGAAATTTATCGATAATTTTCAAATAACTGACGAAATTCGTGGCGACAAAACAAAAGTTCACTCCACGTATGGAGGGGTGCACTGAAGTTCACTCCATGTCTTCACGAAACCACATCACGTCCACCTATTTTGTGTGCCCGAGAAGTGTAAGTATTTGTATATGTGTTGGCGCTCAGGTATGGGTGCCTTTTTGATGATGATTTGAACGAAACCATGAGTTTAAGAAAGACTATACGCATATTAAGGCGCTCTCTATTTTCACGCCCTCCCTCTCCAACGCTCCCAAACATAACCAATATTTTCGCCGCTTTTTAACTAATATTTCTTTTTTGTTCAAAAAACCAGACATTCCTTATTCAACGCAAAATATATTCCTTTTAATTCTCGTTTCAGTGCAATATTTATACATTTTTTTCGGAGCTTTCCATACAATGTGTTTCACAAATGAATTGATTGAATGCATTCAGAAGTTATGTCATGTCATGTCCTACGCATACAAATCGGTTCATTGCGTGGGCTTTACATTCATTACACAATGTATTCAATTCTGTGCTCTATTTGTATAACATTTATATTTTCAAAATTATTAATATATAGCTTTTCAATAGATTGGCGTTTATTTTTTAAACTTAATTCACATAAAATTCTCATAAATATTTAAATTCCGGTTTATTATAGTTAAATAAATATGTGTGGTTTGAAAACAAAGTTTACTAAAAGTTATGCTTTGTATTTAAATATTAACTCTCCTAGCTCTATTATTAGTTTCCTTTTATTTTCAATGCATGTACAGTACAAGTGAATTACTATTCTTTAAGTCTTTAGAAAATTCTTATGTATAACAAAAATTCATTGAATATAATTTCATTTAAAATATGTTTTAATATTTGGCAAAATTTAAATCTATTTATGGTTATATAAAGACACAATGCACTAAGCAAATGTAAAATAATTAATGCTTAAAAAACATATTTAAAAAATTTACAAAAATTTGTTTAAGTTGGTTTTCAAAATTTTTTTGTTTAATATGAATAAGTTACCAAAACTAAAAGACCATTTATTATATTTCTAGATTCATGGCTCAATTCTAAAACCTGAGGCATAGTTGTTGTGTTGACTTAAAGTGAAGTTTTAAAAGTTGACAACAAGTCCTGCATTTTGAAGTGAAAACATATTTTATTGATATCTCAATTAGATTTAAATTTAGCATAATATCTGAGAAATGAGCAAATTTCTGAATAAAACACATAACTTATACCTCTTTATCTGATCATTTAATTACTGTGTTATCCCCACTAATATACCACAAAATCCAGTCCCCAGTAGTCATCACTTCCAGCTGTCAAATAGGGTTTTGTTTGCTTTGAATGGTTTGAAAGTAGTGTTGAGTTATAATAAGTTAGCCTTAATTCTCATGTCAACGGGTTTGTTCATAAAAATAGAAATAAATAGCGAAATGTTTAAAATAAAATACCGAAAAATGTTTGCAAAACTTAGTGAAACTGTATAAAGAATAGGGTTAACGACGAGTGAAAGAGTTTTCAGGAGGTTTTCAGGACTGGTAGAAAAAAAACACACATAAGTGGCCTTGAATTTGATGATTATAGCGCTCGTAAAACTGCTTACTCTTCTCATATCTTATCATTAGAACCGAAGTCTCTTTCCTCGGATTCATTAGGCGAGTGGTAAGAGTACGAGCACCGCAACTGTAGGCCTACATTATGGTGTTAGTCAGCCATCAGTGTTACTCTTAATACTTCTGTCGACACCGCACCCCAATCCCCCT